GATATAGTGCAGCTGTACTTTCCAATCGCTACAGTACGCCAATTATTTCGTCATTTTCAGAAGTCAATGTAATTTGACTCTTGAAGTACTGAACTCGTATGCTTTTAGGTTTACCATCGTTGGACGTGCCCTTCAAACGATTACGCATTCAAAGTGTATCGATGTTATGTGCATAATGGATATCAGCAGTCATATCAGATCATTAATGATCAAGGGTAAGTTGAGGAAAGTATATGTAGCACAATGGACCAATCAGCAAATGGGTAAACCACGCCCACTCTCCAAATTTGGTCAAAATAAGGAGAAGTCACTAAACATCTGGCGAACAGAATCAATTTTATACGTAACAAAATATTTGTGACATTTTTTTCCTTAATAAAAAAGTTTTTTTTCAAAACTTTAACTCGAGAAAATCCCTGCCTTTGCTCTGCTCTCCAAGCAGGTGCTAGCATTTTTATGCGTGAATTCCTGAAAAGAAGACAAAGTGCATTGTCCTCTCCTGACTCCAAAGATATTCATATCTGCTCGGTCACCAATGCGCCGGATGTGCCTCATTGCACTTGAATGAGCGTTGTCTGCCATTCACCTAATGGTATTTGTACTAATATGGAATGATCCTGCAAATCCTTTAAATTACATACGTGAAGTTTTTCACGGAATTTTTTGCTGTGTTTGTAATGTGCTCGTTGAGGTGTTCTCTGGACGAGCAGATTTTACCACATCCCACATACGATCTACAAAAAGGTATCGTCTACACGCCATCGAAAGCGTTCAGGTAGGATTTTTATGTTTTTCAAAAGAGCAAAAGCTCATTGAATTAAATATTCTTTCATGAGAAAACTTCAATACTTATCTATTAATGTTTATAATAATTACTATAACTATTTAATGATATCTCATGGCCATTTTTATAGGAGGTGTGGTAAGTAATGGGGGCGGTAAACTCATTCCTGTAAGCATTAAATATGTACGATAGCATATACTAAAGGAACATATAAATGAGGCCCGGACTGATTACTGTAGGAAATCGGAAAATATGCAGTGACAGTAACAATTTATAAGATAGCTGACAAATTT